GTGCTAAATAAAGAGTACAATAATACATAATAATAGATACACATGAAATTAGTAAATTTCAGAATGAGAAGGCTCTTCAAAATTTGGCGCATGATGTTGACCGAGATGAATCAAATCTATGATCTTTTCTGTTTCACGTTGTTCTTTTATATATAATTTTTTTAATAACTCACATATAAAAGACACACTCAATATTTTTAATAGAACCAATATGGTAGAATTTGAATTCGTAATCTTTAATAAGATATAATAATTAAAAAAAAATGTTAAAAAATGAGTGGAAGTTCTTCTTTTGGAAAGTGATGTCCCACAATCACACTACATGAGGGAATCATAGTTTCCATAGCTTCATCAATGATTTCCAGACCCAATTGTTCCAAACCTCAACTTGCGGGAATGGTGAAGGCAACTTTCAGCTTCACATCACTACCACTTCATAAGGATAATGAATGGCCCTAACTCGTGAGTTAATAAGCGAGGAGGAATATGTGGGCCATGAGGGTGGACTACTTTGAAGTATAACATTTATTATTGGAGATTAATAACATATTTCATTTATGAGCTTTTAACATTTTTTTTAACGTAGCCTTACTATTCTTTATTATTATTATTATTATTTATTTGGCTTTTCTACTTTTAATATTTTCTTAATATGACATTTCGATAGGATTTCAGTTAATACTAGATTTCTACGCTACGTCGTGGATTGGATAAAATATATAAAATTATATAGAAAAATTATTTCAGTTTAATAATCTGTTTTATGATAAAAAATAATTATAATTTTTAAATGAAAAAGATTTATATTTAACTATTTCTTATTTGTATTTTTAAATTTTAGAAATAAATAATAAAGCAAATAAATTATTGATTTCTTTAAAATTTTAACACCCAATTAATTGTTGGTTCTTTTAAAATTTTAACACCTAATATTATTAAGAAATTAAAATTAAAAAAAAATTCAGTGTTTAGGAAAAAAAAAAAAAGGAGGCCAGTAGTTTACTATTCATGTGAATAGTAAACGGATGGAAATTAAAAAAAAGGAGGGCAAGCCGTTTACCATTCAAATGAACAATAAATAGGTAAAAAAAAAGGGGAAGGGGGTGAGGCCAGCGGGTGCTAGCAAAAAAAAAAAAAAAAAAAAACTTAAAAAACCAAAAAAAGCCAAAGTAATATAGCATTCTTTAGTATATAGTATTAGATTTTTCACCTGCGTTATGCTTGCAGGTTGGATAAAATATATAAAATCGTTTAGAAAAATTATTTCAATTTAATAATCTGTTTTGTGATAAAATATAATCATAATTTTTTAATAAAAAATTTTGTATTTAACTATTTCTTATTTTTTAAAAAAATAAATAATAAAGGAAATAAATTGTTGGTTTCTTTAAAAATTTTAACACCCAATTAATTGTTCGTTCTTTTAAAATTTTAACATCAAATACTATTAAGAAACAAAAATTAAAAAAAAATTCAATGTTTAGAAAAAAGAAAAAATAGGGTGCAAGCCGTTCATCGTTCATGTGAACGGTAAATGGATGAAAATTTTAAAAAAAAAAATCAATGTTTACAAAAAAAAAAAAAAAAAGGAGGGAAGCCATTTACTCGTTCAAATGAACAAGTAAACGGATGGGGGGGCAACGGGTCTAGCAAAAAAAAATTAAAATAAAAAAAAACAACAAAACACCGTAGCAAATGAATAGTGATTGACATGTTCATTGCTACAATGAAAAAACGTTTTGCTTTAGTATATAGGATAATTCTAGCACCAATCGATAGGTGGATTGTCATGTTAGATAATCTTAATATGCGTTTAAAAAAATAATTTTGAAAAAACAATTTGTTTCCTTTTTTATTTTTATTTTATTATTTTTATTTTTTAAAATTAAAATTAAAATGTTTTTGACACATATCACCATCCGACGAGTCCACTTGTTGCTTATTATTGGGTTACTTAATTGGATATTTTGCAACAAAAGATGTGATTGTATTCTTTTAATTAATGGGGTGTGAAAAATATTCTTGGAGTTGTTGACTTTGAGATATATATCATCTAACAACATATATACATACACATTCTCTTTATCCCAAAATCATAGTTTTTTTTTAAAAAAAAAAAACTTTTTTACATAATTTAAGAAACTTATTAATTATAATACCATATCAACATTAACAAAAAAAAAAACACTTTCTTAAAATATCATTTTTCATTGAATGAGAAAATATATTCAATTTAATCCTCGCATTACAAAATAAAATATTAATGAAAATATTTACTCAAAATTTTAACAATCCCTTCAAGATTTTAAGCCGGAAAAATGAAAGATCTAATGAAACATTACTTAAATTTCCCACAAAATTTTAAACCAAAAATTTAGTCCCGAATTAAGGCAATGGGTTAAAATTTCCGTCCCATCCAAATTTAAGTTAAATTTTTAGAAAGATCTAGATATTATTAAGTCTTTCTAAATTTTCCAAAAAAATTTAAGAAGAAATAATTAATTTTCTTTTATCAATTAGGGATTTTTTTAAAAAAGTACAATATTAAAAACATGGACCAAAACAAACATTTTAATATAAACATAAATAGAAAAGGGATAATCTCTTTACAACGGAAAGAATATATTTTTGATCCATTGGTTTAGTACTATTACATTAATGATGGCTTATTGTTGGTGGAAGTTTTAGACTTTAGTTATGTTTTTGGTGTTTGTTAGTGTTATGACAAACAAGCGAAAACAAGACAAGTAATGACAAGTAATAATCAAAAGATAAAGCTAAACAAATTATCAACACACAGGATTTACGTGGTTCAACAAATTGCTTACTCCACGAATGACAGGAAAGTTTTATTGGCTTGATAGTAGGAGAATACAAAAACCCCGAAGGTTCAATACAAAGTCTATGTCTTTCATTTTATTTCATAAACAGAGACATATGGAGGTTTAAATACCTCATACCTATAAAGGAAAAAACCTAATGGGCTAAATATATTATTGGCCTATAAAATTCAAGCCACATAACAAATCTCCACTTTGGCTTAAATTTTGCAAACCTTCAAGAATGTCACATAATTCCTCACACAAACAAAAGCATGAAACATGGGAGAGAGAGAGAGAAAACTCTCACGATCGTGTCTCTCTCCTTCACACGATCGAGCCTCTCTTTTCAAGCATCACACTTTGATTTACTTAACACCACTTAGGTCTACACAATGCGTGAACTTATTTACTAAAATAGGTTTAGTTAACACATCGACTGGATTGTCTTTAATGTGAACTTTCTTCACTATAATTTTTTTATAGAAATCGCTTCGCGAATGAAATGATACTTGATGTCAATATACTTGATCCTCTCATGATGTGTTTGATTTTTAGTTAATCGTATAGCAATCTGGTTGTCACAAAAGACAAGATGCACATACTAAACCTCTTCTCGAGTACTCAATTTACTTTGCTTCGAGACAAGATTGGCATTTCCTCTTCATAGTCAATCTTGCCAGGGGCATGATAAAGGATACACTAAAGTCTTTCCATGTATGGCTAATTTTGTTTCTTACTTTATTGCTACTTCCTATTTAGAACTTCCTATTTAGATTTGTTTGTCTATTATATATACATACTTGTACTCATATACCAAACAGAAATAAATATTATTATCTTCCAAATCTTTATAAAGACATTTTCATAATTAGTTCTCAATGATGCCAATCGTAGCTCATTTGGCAGTCTAATATTTATGTGGCCACCATTTGTGTTCCAAAAATATCTGCAGGTCGATAATATGGATATCCCATGATGTATCTAAATTCAGGGTCACAATCATCACACTTGAATGCTCCCTTGAGATAACAATTTTATCATAACGTTTATGTTAGCGACTTTATGTACTTCCTATTCAGAATTTTTTTTTTTAATGTGATTGTATCCCTAGATGTAATTCATGAAATTTTTTTAGTATTTTATATGTATTTTCTTTTTTTATTTTTTTGTTGTAAATTCCTAAAATAAAATAAAAAAGAAAACTAACAAAAATAAAACAAAACAAATAACTAAAAAATAAAATTGTAAAATGGATGAGATTTTTTGATTATGACAAACCTAAAAAATAAATTATTAGATAAAGTCTCATAAATAGTTTTATATTACTTCCTAATACATGCTTTCAAGCAAAAACATTTTATATTTGAAAATTAAATGTATTGTATAGAATGGAATCATAGTATCCGTAGCTTTATCCACGACCCAACATTGTTTACAACCTTAATTGGTTAGAACGGCTGGCATAAAGTGTGTATGAAATAACCACCACTTCATAAAGTGAACAGATGGTCTTAACTTCTGAGTCCCTACTACGACTTTATAAAGTGAATAAATGCTACTAACTTCTGAGTCCGTACTTTGGAATCTTGTTCCTCATCAGGATGAATATGTGGGCCATTTAAGTTTCTGTTAACTCTCTCATACTATTGACAAAGTTTTTCCCTCCATCTAATCGAAAAGAATGAGTTGTGTTTTATTATGGAAATGAAAATTTTTATATTACTTTTTGAATAACTATTAGTATTTATCGTGTGATATGATATAGGAGTACACGAGTTAGAAAATTACAGTAAATCCTACTATAAGAATGATTTGAATATTATTCTCTATTCTTTATGTCTGTCATTCTCCCACTGAGCAATTATCATTGTGTTTTTATTCATGGTTTCTTGTATTTTGTGCTCATCTAATGTACTAATGACAGAATACAACAATACAGACATCATACAAAAAAAATAGAGGGGCTCGTAGCCCAATTTCTCAAGATTAAAAAATCATAAAATACATTTTAACTCTATCAAAAATCTTTGTCATGTTTCACCAAATTTATGTGGATCTGATCGTTCAAAAAACTACAGGATCTAAGAGTAATTTAATTATTGTTGTGCATATATAAAGAGCTATTCGCACTCCCGGAGAGCATGTTAACAATTACCCGAGAGGATATTTGTAATTCCCATGGCCACTCTTGTTTCTTCTAATTCACCACTTGCTCGTGTCCTCTATTCTTTTCTTCTTTTTTGCCTTTTAAGCTCTGTCAAGAAAGACAATGCTGTTGAAGGAACGAAAGCCTATTTTCACACTCTCAAAATCAATTCTCGCCCCCTATTAGACGTCTGCAAGGAATCTTCCAAAGGTAATTCGTGATTCAAATTGAACACATTTTTTTTGAAGAAGGTTTACGTTTATAAAATTAATTTTAGTATTTAGATAGCTATATGCATAATATCTATGATTTAAACATGACCTTCTTCTTCATTTTTATTTAAAAATAAAAGAAAAATTGTTCACTTTTTTTTTTGGTTGGGGGGTGATGATGGAAAAGGAAGATGTAGGAGAGGAGAGTGATGTACTTGACTGTTTTTAATGATTTTTAGGTACTTCAGTTCTGAACAAAGGATCAGCATCCCTAAAAGTGGTACACAAGTACGGTCCATGCTATCGACACAAAAGATCAATCCCTCCGCCCTCCTTCATCGAAATCCTCCGTCGAGACAAACTTCGAGTGGACTCGATTATTCAGTCCAGGCGTTCGATGAATTGGGCCCGCAATGTTGAGCACATGAAGAGTGGGATCCCGTTCCGTGGTCTATCCAAAGACACTATAAGTGACTATGTTGTCAATATTGGTTTGGGCACGCCGACGAAGGAAGTTCCACTCATATTTGACACAGGCAGTGGCCTCATTTGGACTCAATGCAAGCCATGCAAGCCTTGCTACGGAAATGCACCGGTGTTTGATCCAACCAAATCAACCTCATTCAAAGGCATTCCATGCTCCTCAAAGCAGTGCCTAAGAATCGAAGAAGCAGGTAATATTATTATTTTGATATGTATTAAGACTTTTAATTAACTTATAAATAATATTAAAGAAATCAGTGATCAATAGAAAATTCAAATAAATAGAATTCAAGCCTATATATTTTCCATGTTGCAGTATGCTCCTCTAATTCGAAGTGCAGCTACATAGTTGGATATGTAGACAACACCACCTCCACAGGAATATATGCCACGGAAACAATAACCTTTAATCAATCAAATTATGACTTCAGGAACATCTTGATTGGATGCAGCAATCAAATATCTGGTGATTTAGATCAAGACAATTCTGGTATATTGGGATTGAACCGCCAACCTATATCTTTTCCATCCCAAACTGCTGACAAATTCAACGAACTCTTCTCTTATTGTATCCCATCCACTCCTGGCTCAACTGGTTACCTTACTTTCGGTGGTGAAGTGTCGACGGATGTGAAATTCTCTCCCGTATCCAACAGAGCAGCATCTTCGGACTACGACATCGAAATGACTGGAATTAGTGTCGGAGGCCGTAAACTATTGATAGATGTATCGGTTTTCAAGATTCGTTGCGCCATTGACTCTGGTACAGTGTTCACTCGGCTGCCTCCGAAGGCATACAAGGCGCTCAGATCAATGTTCCGAGAAATGATGAAAAGTTATCCTCTGGTGGACATAGATGAGACTCTAGACACATGCTATAACTTCAGGAATTATAAGACGGTTACAATACCTGCGGTTAGTGTGTTCTTCAAAGGTGGTGTTGAGGTGGATATCAATGTGTCGGGGATCATGTTTGGGGATGTGGAGTCCAAGGTGTACTGCTTGGCATTTGCAGCACTGGACGAGGAATATGCAATCTTTGGGAATGTCCAGCAACAGACTTACACATTAGTCTTTGATGGTGCAAGAGAGAGGATTGGATTTGCCCCTGGTGGCTGTGACTAAATCGAGGAAAATGAATCTCGATCGATGGTGTACTAGCTCTAAATAAATGATAATAAAATGGGCGGAGTTTTTTTTTTTTTTTTAATTTTTTGTTTTGCGGTACTCTTATAACAACTTGCTTCCAAACCTTTTAAAATGGAATCGCTATTCCCCATGTATAAACAGAACATCATAATGTTTGTTAACTAAACAATAGAAAAGAAAAGAGAGCTGAAACAAGTGTGTTTTCTGTTGGTCAAATAATCATTTGTATTTAGGTATTTTATAGGTTCAAAGAATAATTTTATATCAAATCATGTGTAATATGTTTTCTCAAAATGAAAACTCTTTAGGTTTGAAATTTGAACAAGTACACCACCACTATTTTGTGCTAATTTTGTTCATTTAATTATTATAATAAAAGTAATAGGATTTAAATTGAAAAAAAAAATGAATCTAGATGGTGTACTAGCTCTAAAAAAATAACAATAAAATAGTGTGATTTTATTTGTTTATTTATTTGTTTTGTGGTACTCTTGTAACAACTTGCAACCAAACCTTTAAAATGGAATCGTTATTCTCTATATATATACAGAACATCAATATGTTTGTCAAGTAAACAAGCTAAGCAATAGAAAAGATAGCCAAAACAAGTGTGTTTTCTTATGGTTTGTCATAACCTAAATTTTGATTCCCCCATTAGAAAGTAATATAAAATCATTTTTAAGACCTAACTTAATAGATTGAACTCTTAGGTTAAGATAATTCTTTAATATAGTATCAAAGCCTTAAGAAACATTTCTAGAACCTCACCTAGCGGTAGTGATTTCGAATATCACCACCTTCATTTTTTTTTTTAATTAATTAAGCATAAGATAGTGTGGGCTTGTGTAAGTTTCAAGCCCAAATGGTTTTCATATTTGAGAGTGTGTTAAAAATAATAATATAAAACTATTTTTAGAACCTCACCTAATGACTTAAGCTTTTCGATTGAGATTGTTCTTTGACACCCCCTCCTCCCTTTATTTTCTTTACAAAAGAAATCATAAAAAGAATATCTCTTTAAGCCTTAAATGGGTTAAATTTTTAACCATCCCTTTTCTTTCTTTTCCTTTCTTCTTCCTTCTTTTCCAATACTTTTGGCCCAAATTTCTTCTCCATTATTAGGATTGATCTCCACTCCTAACACAAACCTAGACACTTTCTTCAACCCTAATGTACCTAGATTGATTCTTGGCTAGAAAATCACACCCAACTAGCTCCCCAATTTGTCTTAATCTCTATCCAAAACTCCCTCCAAGATATCCCTTAATATCCACCAACATAGTTGAAAATCATCCACCAACCCTCATTCTCACACTATAATAAAGGAGATAGCCAAAGAATAAAAAAAACAAAACAAAAGGGAGGGGAAAGAAAGAGAAAGAGAGTAAAATCTTGGAAGTTTTTTTTTTTTTTCCTTTTTTGGGAAATTTGGATAGTTTGTGGAGTTGACTTTGGGTTAGGTTTTCTAATCAACACTCCAACCAATTTTGTTGATTTCTATTTCTACTCGTAGAAGGTATGTCGCTTTATACTTTGCGTTCTTTGAGTTTATCGTTTTGAGATGGTTTTTCTTTTTGTTTTGGTCGTGCAAGTAACAACCAAAATTGAAAAAATATGACAACAAATTATGAAGATTTGTTCAGAATTTTGGCATGAATTTTTTCTCGTTAGTCTTTATGATTGTTTGGTTTTTTTAGTACTCTACAAAAAAAAAAAAAAAAGGTTTTCAATTATCTATCTATTTTGGCATAATAAGGGTCTAATTGGAATATATAAAAATGTCTTGAGGCACAATTTGCTTTACTCTTTATTTCATTCATATACTTATGGATCAAACCATGTTTTTGTTTTGGTTTCTTTATGAAAATCATTATTCCTCATTTTTTTCCAATAATAGTTAATTTTTTAGCTTAATTTGATATAACAATACAGAAAATGGCATGATTTGAGTTAATAAATTAGTTAATTTGACAAGGTTACAAGTTAATTAATCGACAGAACACATAAAATGGATTGAATTGATATTGTTTTAGGAAATATGGACTGTTTTGTTTTGTTATGATTTAGGCAAGTTTTTTATGTCATTTTAATCTAATTTTTTGGTATGTTGTAAATAAGCATGTTTCCTAATGATGTACCAAATTTTTGAATTTTGTAAGAATGTTTGAGTATTCATTTGAATTTGCTTTTTTTAATACTACACAATATCAAATAATAAGAAATATGGACTAATTTGATTCAATTGTAAATTGGGCAAGTTGTTGACGTGCATGATAAAATCTAAAATTTTGGTATGTTGTAAATAAGTATGTTTCCTAATTATGCAACAAATTTTAGAATTTTGTAATAATGTTTGGGTATTCCTCTAAATTTTTTTTATTTAATACTAAATCAAATAATAAGAACTAGGAACTAATTTGATTTAATTATAAATTAAGCAAGTTTTTGACATAATAAAAATCTAAAAATTTGATATGTAAATAAGCATGTTTCCTAATTATGTATTAATTTTAGAATTTTTTCTAAGAATTTTGTAGTGTTCATTTGAATTTTCTTTGGTTAATGCTACATAATCAATTATTATTATTTTAGTAAATTTAATTAATATTTTCTTGTAATTTAATAAAATTCCATATTCACATCGTAAATATTTTGGGTCATCTGAATTTTGATTAATGTTACTACCCTAGAATATTATATTATTCTAAAATCTAAACGATAGTAAAATTTAATTAAATTCAACATTAAAACAAAATAAAATTAGATGATCTAAATTTTATTATTTTATTTTTACATGAAAATCATGTCAAAACTTTAATCGGATTCAATGCTAAATTGATATGATTTTTAATTTTAAGGTTTGATGTCAATTCAACAACATTCTACCATAAAAATTAGTCCTTTAATATGTTTAAAGTTATCAATTAGTTCTTAATATGATAATCATGACAGAACTATAATAGGATTTGATATTAAATTAATGTGAATTTCTATCTTGGGGTCCGACGATAATTTATTACGATTTCACACTAAATCATAACCAATTTAGTGAACTATAAAATGACTCCTTAAACCAAATTGATAAAATTACTTGAAATAAACTATAAACTTGAAAATAAGCTTGTAAATATTGTGAAAAAATAATAATTTAGGAAATGATTTAGAAATAGAACAAGTTATGTAACCTTTTTTAGTAAAGAATGCTTTTGAATGATTGTTATCTTTTTAATAAACATAATCAATTCATTACCCATAATTTTTAAAAGACCAGTTATTTAGGTTTTTTAGTGTCTTTAAAGTACTCGATGGCGACTCCTTATCTTTTAATTCTTTTTAATCGAAAGGTTCCATATGTCGCATAGCGACAACATTGTGACTCCACTAAGGATTTAAAGTTAAGTCATAGGCTTGTTTTATTCTGAAATCATATTCTTTAATTATATTTTTTTCAATTTATTTTTGAATAATTTGTTTACTTTCAAGTCACTTAATCTTCAATCATTTTACTTACTCGCTTATAAATTGGATTGGTATGCATGTTTACATATAAAGCTCCACACACTCACCGAAAGGCCAACTAAAAGCTCTAGAACTCGACTCTATCCCTTTAAGATTAGATATGAAGATTTAGAAGCAAGTGTAATGAAAGTTCATTTATGCTCATCTAGACTTCTGCTCGATTCAAACTCGCTTACATATAGAAGATTGTGGAAAAAAATTTCATACCTTCTATTGCATAAGGTTTGAGATTGTTTTACTCTATTGATAATCCGAACAATCCGAGAACTTAAAAAAAAAAAAAAGATTAAAAAAAGCCTAATCAAACCCTTTGAAAGCTAGAACCTATCCGCCAAGCTTAAACTCCTATAATACACGAACTATATATGTCAAGCTGCACGCGCCCCCCCCCCCCCCCCCCCCCCAACGATGTGTGAATGATATTCAAAATTAGTGCGTATAAATTAAATCGAGTTCGAGTTCTTAATGAAATGTTCGCACATGTAAGTTGAGTAAAATATATCATATTTATCGAAAACATGAAAAGTGACGGTGATTTAATCTAATTATCTAGATTTTTGAATTGAAAGTGATGTCTACTCAAATATATAAACCCTTACATGAATATGTCCAAGTGATCACCTCTATGTATCTTCCAATTGTAAGTGATTACCTTACATGTATATGTCCAATTGAAAGTGAGTCAATTTGAATGTTAAATCGTGGTAGGTGAATGACAACGAGGAGACGAATGAAAAATTGGTGCATCGTGTTCCTTTCCGTTTCACATTGTGTCCAAATTGAAAAAGAAAAAGTGTTAAAATATGTGGAAGTTCATTTCTAGAAAAGTCATGTTAGAGAGTCCAAAATAGTGGGGCCACTGTCCATTGTTGCATCCGTAATTGCCAGAAGCAATAATATATATTGCTCTGGACCTTGGCTGTCCCCAAATAAATTCTCTTGGGGGGGGGGGGGGTTTTGCCAAGACGATGGATGGAGTTGAAGGCATAGAAAAAAGCATCGATTGGAATGCATTTATTGCAGATTTATGTACAGTAAATAATTCTCTTTGGACAGTGAAGACAATGAACGCAACTCAATGTTGCATTTATAGGTTCAGAAGTTGCTCAGTTGTCCCGCCCAAGTCTGTAATATTTTGATAATCACAATTCAAAAAATTAAATGGTTAGATGATACCCTACAGACGATTTAATATTAACTAACTATTAAGAATCATCACTAATTTTGAACCAAATTATCCTAAGTACAAACCCAAATTAACCTAAGCTTAAATTAGCGTAAATCCAAACTCATATTCTAGAACATATTAGTTCTAGATTTCTCGTCTCCCTTCATATAAAATATCTTATTTCTAGATTTCTCTTCTCTCTTCTTATAAAACATCTTATTTTTTAAATTCTCTCAGCTCCCACCTAACTTCATTAATGACGTAGGCTAAATGTGTGGCTAGGTTTTAT